AGTGAGGGGTTTTGGGGTGTCTCTGGGGTCAGCCACAGAAGTGCGGACACATCCAAGAACACACAACCCCCCGAGGCTGCATGTCCTGCAAGGGCGGGCGTTCCAAACCTCATGGAGGACGTAGGACCTGGCTGAGCGCAGGGCGTTCGATGCCTCGTGTTTTCGTTTACACCTGAGTGCCTCCTGGTTGGGTCTGGTAGGAACTGGCGTCTGGTTCGTATTGCTGAGAACACGAGGTGGTAGAGAGCCCTTGTTTCCCACCCCACGCAGGAGCAGCTGCGTTGCTCCGTGTGATGTGGAGTGACCTTCTCCCCTTCGGGTGTGGAGGAAGCACTTGGTTTTGCTCTTTACCTTGGTGCAAGGCAGGGACGGGATGGTGCCAAAGAAGGCCCAGACATTTTCCATTCCCTGCACTGGGAGAGATGAGGTGATAGGCCACAGAAACTCCGGCTTTTTACGTGACAGCCCTCCAACAATCTGGCATCTCCGTGGAGAGAAACCTGGTGGGATGGGGCTTCCAGCTGCAACAGAGATAAACCTTTCCAGTCCTTCTGTGCCACGTCTTTTCCCTGTACAATAAGTAAAATTCACAGGGTGGCCTCCTGCCAGTTCCCCCTTCCCTCGTACACCCGGATCTCTCCTGCCCCAGCTGGTAGCAGCTGTGGCCCAGAGGAGCCAAGCGGTGGAAATAGTTGGTGCAGATAAAGATCATCAAAAGGTTCAGAGCAGATCCTGAGGTGTGACTGTCCCTGAAATCTCCTCCCACGCATGGCTCATCTTAGGGCTGATATCTAGTTTTGTGTGAGGGGGGGAGAGGTGCAGAGGGGAGGAGAGGTGGAGAGATAATTTTAGGAGCTATGTGTAAAAAAGGAAGTGGTTTGTTGCTATAGCTGTAGTTAGAAAGAAAGCTCAGCCCTGCCTGCTGAATGAGCCTGTTTCGACCAAGTTTATGCAAAATAAAAGTGTGCTTGGCTATTCCTGAATGGTTTTCAGCTGGGGGATGTGGTGGGGAGAGTGGTGGGAGAGGCATGAGTGGTAGGAGGGGCCGTGCTCCGGGACACCGTCCTCTGCCGCGCCACGGAAGTTGATGTTCCTCAGAAACGAGACCAGTGAGCACCACTTGCGATTTTTATGCCTATTTTGTCCCGATAACGCCTTTCACTACGGCCCGTGGAAGCGTTGTGGATACTCGGTGGCTGGGCAGGAGGGTTGGTTGCTTTTTAACGGCTGGGGAAACTGAGGCACAGAAGCACTGGCAAAACGAGGAGCTTTGTTTTCCAAGCTGGATCTTTCCCTCCGCGTTTGCTGTAGCTCACGGAAAAGAGCCGCCTCCGTAGAGAGGTGGCGTTCCCAGCTCCCTCCACGAGCGAGGAGCTGAAGTCGGCAGCTGGACCCCGTGTTTTGCCAAGGAGCATTAGCACCCCAAAGAGCGTCCTTGGACTCGTGCCGCCAGGAAGGGGAGACTTTGGTTAATGCGGTGCCAGAGCACACTCCCAAACGCTTTGCGGTGCATAACATTTTCCCTCGCCTCATTTCCAACCCCGTTTTGAGCGGGGAAGGTAATCCCTTGGCCCAGGCGTTTTGGTGTGATCAGTGAGTAGGAGCACCTGATTTTTTTTTGCATCGCTTCACTTGAGAAATTTTAAACGGGGAGAGGAAAAGCAGAGGTTACCAGAATCAGGAAATCCTCGGGTTGGAGCACTGCTTGCTTGCTCCAAAGCCCGCTAAGCAATAATTCGCTCCTCAAACGGCCACTGCCTGCATTTACCATTGGGAACAAGCTTTGAACAGATGATCTTTGCAGGCATGTGACTCCAGAGATGTCCTCTGTCCCTTTTTGGAGCCTACTGCCCTGTCAGCACCTTACGTTTTCTGTGCAAAGGGGAGCCCAGCATGGCTGCAAAGCGACGCCAGGTTGCTGTGGAAGCAGGTCACAGTGAGAGCGAGTGAGACGACGTGGCGTTACAAACTGTAGGAGAAATGGGCACTTTCAAAACTGTTTGGTGTTAGTGTATTTCTAAAAAGAAAAATAAAGAAAAGGAGAGCACTGAGAAGTGCTGGACCTCTTTCTTGAGCAAGGAGTATGGGGACTCTTCAGGCAGAACTCCTAGGTTCTTCTTTTTTTTGCTTTGCTTTACTTTTACTTTACGCAGGGGAGGAAGTGCTGTCTAGCAGCTAGAGTGGAGGAACTTGAAGTCTGGGCTCAGTTTGCAGCTCTGGGGAGGAGGTGGAGCCTCCAAATGAGCAGAGCAGGGGATTACCAGCCCAGGGTCCCAGAGCGGCCAGGACCCCTGCTTTCTCTTTCTCAGATGATACCTCGAGCGTGTCCAACACCAGTCAGCAGCCAGCGGAGCACCCAACAGACATGCCATGGTGTGCACCTCTTAGGGCTGGAAGGGTGAAGCCTGGGACATCACGTCCTTCATCTCCAGGGCTCTCTGGGTTGGCTTTAAGAACTTGACAATTTTGTTTTGCCGGTGGCCCAGGGAGGTGGCACAGTGCTTTATCGCAGCCGCGGCGGATCTCTGATGGTATCTGCCCTAGGAGGCGCATGCTTTGGTGAGAAGGTGCATTTTGGCGGAAGCTCCACTTGCGTTTGATGTGTTCTTCACCCAGCTCGCGCGAGCAGCTTTTCAAAGCTGCGTTATCTGCCCCCACATCTTGACCTAATTTAACAAGTTGCCATGGTTGCTCAGATAGAGGTTGATGCAATTTTCTTATCTTTTTTTTGAAGGAGAAATGTAACTGCTCCGGAGTTGGTGAACTTCAGTTTCCATAGCTCAAGGAGGGCCAGCTCTGGTCATCTCTGGTTTTGGGGCCAGCTCTCTCAAACCTTGTCCAGCTTAAGTCTTACATTAAGCCAGATTTTCTTTTTCCGACGTGACCTAGGCACTGGAGACAGAATGCAGCCATCAAATTTAGGCAGGTGGTGTGTCAAGGTGCGTCTTCTCTGCAGGCAGATGTGCTAAACCTCGTGTTGGCTTAGCTGAAGCTAAGAGCTGAAGCTCTCTCCTTCAGGCAGCGGTGCAGTGTTGGGTGTGGGCGGGTGGCTGCTGCTAGGCGCATGCAGGCACACGGGCACAGATCCCTCTAGACCTCAGCCCGGCTGGGCTAAATCGAGCCCGGCGTTGCCTCCGTGCCACCTGCAGCCCTACCTGGCTGGATCCTGGATCCGACGGGTGCCACGGCCACCAGCATCCTCCGTGTGACCTGACGCCACGCGGATAAGCCCGGACGGTCTGCAGCAGAGAAGCGTGCAGCCCACGCAGAGGGCGGCTGGCGTGGCTCTGGCCGCATCGGTCTTTGGCCTTGCTGCCCTATATTCATCTTTCCCCTACGCTGACCCACTTGTGGTGCTGCCCTCCTGGTGCTGCAGGTCCAGCGGAGCTTCACACCCTCCCTCTGCCCCTGCGGTTGGCGCTAGCCACCCGGGGCTGAATTGTTTTCGGCTTTTCTCGAGCGCCCCAAAGCACCTGCGTGGGTTTATAGCCAAGATGTGGTGTTTGTTTGCTTTGTGGTACGTGGGACCTCAGCGTGGTCTGCGCAGGTCGGGGCTTTCCGTCTGCATGGCCGCGACACCAGAGCTGCGATGTGCCGAGCTGCTGCTCCACGTAGCTGAACAGACAGAGCAGAGCGATTCCCCTCGTGTTTGAGAGGCGGAGGGAGGAAAGAGGGATGAGGGGGTGAAGGGGGCAACCTCGAGCCTTCATCTGCAAGGCTGGTTTTGCATTTGTGATGCTGTCCTTTCTTATGGACCTGGTTAGGAAGGTGCTGCTGCCTTTATAGACAGTATCAGCACCCAAAGAGTTAATGCTCCTTTCCCAGCTAGTATCACTCATGACCTGAGTGTCTCTCTTAGGACAGATTGATGCTATCTTCATTATCATGTTGCCCTTAAAGAAGACAGAAAGTAGCGGAGGGAATAGCCACCTCAGATGCTATCTCGCCCCAGCGCCCAGGAGCGCTTCTGTCTACCAAACGGTTTTGCCCAGGCCAGATCCAACCCTGATCCTTGCTATCAGCATTCACAGTACCATGTCGATAAGGGCCCAAATTTGCCTACTCAACGCATCTGCCTTGTCCAAATTGTCTGCGGTACAGAGCCTGAAGCCTTCGACGAGCCTCTGTTTCTGAGCGATGCTTATCTGTGACGCAGAAGTGAAAGCACGCAGCTGCTGTTTTGCAAGAAAGTCAAGTCAGCACCAAAGAAAGTTGGTCTCTTTCAAGAGAGCTTGTGTGCTGCTTCCCCTCTTCTTGCTGCCTATGCTGCTGGCCTGAAGCTTCCACCAGCGAGCTCCCTGGATGTGTTGTGGTCATCGGCATCCAAAAATCCGCCAGCAGCTGCCTTCCCGGCCCCTTTCCCACCAGGGTCTGGTGATCTGTCTGTGTTTGACACCTTGGAGCTTTCCTAGAAACATGAGCATCCTTCCTGCCTGCTTGCCTGCCGTTTTGGAGAAGTTGTGCCTTTATGGGCAGCCGTGGCCACTTGTGTCTTGGGTAAGGGGAATTTGGAGGTGCAGTCAGCTGCCCCGGCAATCAGAAGCAGCACAACAGCACCCCTGTCCCCTGTGTGATGCAGGGGAAGTTGTTAGCTCGCTCCTTCTGGGCCATACCCTTTACCTGCCCTTGCAGGGTGACTTCAAGCGTGGCCAGCCGGTGGCTCCTGCCCGCGTTCTGCCTCTGGTGCAGAGCCTGCATGGGCTCAGCAGCCCCTTTCCGCCTCCGCAAGGTGGGGAGCTCGAGGGTGGGGTTCGGGGTTGGTTCGGTGGCTCCTGCTCCACCTGCCAGACATGTGCAAATGACAGTGAAATCAGCCCCACGCAACGCTGCCCAACCGTGACGGCACCTCTGCTCTCACCAGAGCTGCTGCAGTCTCAGCAGCCCAGAAGCGGTGGCAAAGCAGCAACTGTGGCTTTGGCTCTCCTTCGAGCAACGAGCTGGAGCGTTGCACGGCAGCTCTTGGCCTGCAGGACCACCTTCAGGGGGAGACGTGAAGCTCACGAAACCCTTTGTGCTTTGCCAGATGCCTCTGGAGTGAGACCAGTCCTCCCAGCACGTTCTTCCTCAGAACAAGCAGAGCTGGCTCGGAGTGTCCCACCTGGCTGCTCTCCTGTCTATAGACCCAGCCCAAAGCGTGTGGCTCCCCAAGGAAGGTGCTTTCTGGATTCTTCCCCGCTTTCTTCACGCCTGCTCTTTGGAGATGCCTCCATCCGAGCCCCACCGCTGCCCTCCCACCCATGCAAAGCTGGCTCTTCACCGGGGCGTGACTGCCCGCGCCAGCCTGGGCAAGAGCTGGGGCGGAGGCGGCTGGGCTTGGTCTGATAAAGGAGCGATGGGGACGAGCTTTACTGTCCCCCAGCACGATGGGGGAAATTGGGGACCTTCGGTGCCACAGTGCCATCGAAGGGGGCTTGGGCAGGGCAGGCACGTGAGCGAGGCGAAGGCTGTTTTGGAGATGTTGCTATGCCCAATTGTTTTGTTGGGTTGGGACCACAAACCACAGAGCAGAAAAGCATAGGTGCGCCGCTTGCTTTTTTTTTTTCAGTAGGGTTTTTTTTTCCTTCTTCTTGTTGTTTGAAAGAAGGGAAACAAAACAGAGGCCGTTGAGAGGGGTGGGGGTGTGAAACCATCTCGAGAGAGTGTGGGGATGACGTGTTTTGGGCCGTGCCTTCCCGGGTACAGCGCAGATGCCCGTCTGCCCCAGCCGGGTGGTGCCACCGTCACCGGGCCAGTGAAAACGGCTGTCGTGCGTATTTTGGTTTCAAACCCCTCCAGAGCCCCACTGGGTAGGAAGGTGGTAGGGGACCTCCAGTCCTAACCGAGGGATGATGGCACAGGGATGGCGTGGCACCAAACCAGTTGCTCTGGGGGCACCCACGGGTGCTGTCAGAGGGCTGGTGCCGAGGAGGCACCACTGAGAGCTGCTTCCCACTGTAGGAGCTGGCTGCCGTCCAGTTTAGGAGGCATATTTTCCCCCTGATGCGGGAGAATTCCTGCAGTGTGACACTCCCTGCTGAAGGACCCCGTTCAGTGCCACCGAGGCTAGACAGGGTGCCCATTGTGACCCCGGTAGGCAGGCGAGCCCCTCCGGCGGGCGCTATTCTTAGCAGCCTTCACGAGGGCCGGAGGTCACGGCGGGGTGGGAGGACATCCCACCGCCCTCTGAGTCCTCGCCTTGTCTTTTGTGGAGCAGGGGCTGCCCCCATTCCTCTACCAGCTTGCTCTGGGAAGCCCCTTGATGTGTGCGGTGGGACCAGTGCCGTAAAAGGTGGCTTGTGTCTCTCCACCCCGCGCTTGGGGCTGTATCCAAAAAATAAGAGGACACTCCAGCGGTGGTTGTTTTTGGAGAAAACCAAGGCAGCAGGTCGTGGGGTGGCCTCGGGGCGGTCGGCGTGGCTGCATGTGCCTGTGCCATGAAGTGATCTGGACCAAGCGTCGTGGTGGGGATTTCCAGCCCCGGCTGGGGACGAGCAGAAGGGTTGAAGGAGAAGGGATGGAAAATGGGCGCTGCTCCCAGCTCCTGCGGGGGCGGAGATTTGGGGTGCGGAGACAAGCCCAGCAGCTTCGTGCTTGCCCTGATAGCTTTGGTGACGCGATGTCGGGGGCGGGGTGGCATCTCTGCACGAGCCAAGGGTCGCCTTGAAATCCTTTTAGGCGTTGGGAGAAGTAACTCCCTGCTCCTTCCTGGTCTGCAGGGCAGGGAAAAGCAGCTCATTTCTGAAGACAGCCCTCTCAGCGCTCATTACAGCTGTGTTGGCCCACCAGATGATGCATGGACCTCCAGCACCCCTGCTCTGATCATTTCACCTTCCTACCCTACGGACTCCCCAGAGCTGTTTTCGGGCACGCAGGCCCGGGCATGTGCCGGGGTTTGGTTCCTGCTCCCTCGTGCATCACCCGCCTGGCTGACATTTCGGAGTCATGCCCCAGCGGCACATCTGCAGGGCCTCCGCTGCCTTCCCCTCTGGCAGGGCGTGTGTTTATAGGAGCTGAGACATGCCTGCGAGCCCTCCAGTAAACACATTCTTGACATAATTGCTTGTCCAACACAGAGGAATTTGGGGTTTTACACGTGTCCCGCAGGCGGCTCGGAATAGACCTTGGGAATCCCTGTTCCAAGGATGACACCGCTTCCTTCAAAATCCCAAAATACCCGGCAGAGGCACCCAGTGCAGAGGCAGGAGCCCTACCTCGCTTGCTGGAGAGAGGGCGAGAAATTGCCGGGTTTCCCGACACCTCTCCGTGCCAGCTGGCAGCCGAGCCGTGAGCACCAAGCATGAACTGCGCCGGCAGCTTGGCTCGGGGTTAACGACACTGGAACCTCAAAAGGCTCCTGCAGAGCCAGGGTGGCCCAGGGGGATTTTGAGGGCGGTAGCTTACCCAAGAACCTGGCGCCTAGGTGGTGGGTTTCCATCCGTCTTATTTTGGGGAAGGAATTAAAAAAATCCTTCTTCTTTGGTTGGGCAGGAGAGAAATCGATGTGAGGTGATGAACCTGGTCTTGCTTCAGTCTTGTCTCCTAGGCCTGTTTCTCTGTGAACCTGATTTGGGTGTTGGATGCTCTCTTCATGTGTGTAGGGAGTTGCTGTGAAGTCAGGTGGGCCAAGAGGAACCGTCCCCGCGTGAATTCCTGTGGAGGACCTCAGGTGGCTGAAATAACCTTTTTGCCCAATGTTTTCTCTGCTTTTAAAGCTCGCTGCTATAAATAGGTCTAAGCTTCGAGATGCAGTGGCATTTCAGGCCAGTATTTTGGCTCTTCCCTATCAGATGAGAGGCAAAAGCATCATCTGAATTTCCTCCCTCGTTTTGGCACAGATAACCCAACTCCATCCCTACCGGAGAGCGCGGTTGCGGAGTCAACGTCTTGGCAAGCTCCTGCCAAGAAGGACGGGGCTGGAGCCTTTTCCCACTGTCTGTCCTCTTCCCATTTACAAGCAGAGAGATGCTGTGAGCTCCCTGCTTTCTCCTCCCCGTGGCTGTGCGATAACCCCCAGGGCTTGGCGAAGGACCGGGTGCCTGCAAAACCCTGGAGCGGTTCCTTAGGATTAAAAGGAGGGAAACAATTTGAGGAGGGCTGGATGGGGCACAGCGATTCCCCTGTCCCGGAGCCAGCTCTCTCATTTCCTCCTCCCCAGCAGCTTGTCTGCTTTTGAGTCATTTCAAACCATGTGGAAAAGGGGGAAACAGCCCTCTCTTCCCTCCGCGGGTTATCCCGCAGTCACAGCTCTGACAGCCTTCATTGTCATTCATGGAAACAGGCTGTTCTCCATCCTTTTTTCGGACTACATAACTCTTTTTTTCCCTGCTTGAAGCTTGTGCTCATTGCTGTCAGCAGGCGGGTTTACCCCAGTCCTAATCCAGTCCTAATCCAGCCTGTGCAATTCTTTTTGTGAGAAATCATTTCCTCTAATCTCTGGCTCTGTTTATTATTATTATTATTATTGTCATTCTTGTAATTAGTGATATAGTCTAAGCTGCGTTTAAAACATGGCAAAATCTCTCCCGAAACATGTTGCCCAGAGCTAAAAGTGCAATATTTTGGGTGCGGCCGCATTTGGAAGTTGCTCATCAAAGAGATTTTGGCTTGAGGGCTTCTCCTCTACCTTTGATTGGGACACAAGCGCACGGAAGAGATAAGTATTTCGAAATCATTCCACATAACATCATTCATCCAGCCAAAACCAGCCTGCGAAGCCACGGGCCTCTCAGTGGGGTGCACCGGGTGCTGGAGGTTAGTTGTGTTGAGCTCAGGACCCCAAGGCCAATTGCTGTTGGCCATAATGACCACCAAAAGACCGTGGTGTTGTAAGGAAAGGCCGAGCGTACGTGGCACGGGGTGCTGCGCGCCGCCTCGTGCCTCTCCAGCTGGCTTAGGGGAACCAGCAGCCGCAGGGAGATGTGCTTATGGCTTTGCTGAGACCGTGTGCTGGGGAGATGCACCGGTGCTGAGCTGGTGAGATCCGCCTGCGGAGCCAGCCGGCCCCTGCCTTCCCCGCAGCGAGCTCTGCGAGCCCGGCGTAGCCCGATCCTGCAGCAACACGCCCTGGAAAGAGGCCAAATAATTTTCATACCTGGGTGCCCCCTTATCTTCGGTAAACAGCGACGGAGCAAAGAGTCAAGGTCGGGAAGCGAGAGTCTGCCGGAGTTCATGCGATGGCCAGGAGCTTTTTTGGCACGGAGGAGACGGTGGTGCTCTTGTGCCAAGACAATGACTCCTCGCTGTTTGGATGCCAGAAAAATAATCCTATTTATGTAACTCGAAGTGAAGCATTCCAGTGCATGAATATTCAGCTCTTACTGCAAATAGGAAGCTCTCTTACCTGCAGGATTTAACTCTCAAGCTGTCATCTCAGCCCAGATCTTGCCCTGTGGCCGCTGATGGGATTTTTTTGATAGTAGAAGGTTTTATTTTTTTCAGTGAGCACCGTTTGCATGTGATTTTTCCCCGGGGTAGAAGGGGCCGTGCTTTTCCTGACGTTAACATCTCGTGTTTCCTTTGTCTCTCTAGGCAGCGGACCCATCCAACTGTGGCAATTCCTTCTGGAGCTGCTCACCGACAAGTCCTGTCAGTCCTTCATCAGCTGGACGGGCGATGGCTGGGAATTCAAACTTTCTGACCCAGACGAGGTAGAGTACCCTGCAATTAAGCGCACGGCCCAAATATCGGCGTGGATAACCCTCCCCTCCTCCCTTCAGGGCTGAGATTTGGGCAGTCGTGTCGTCGTGGTGTGGGGTTTTTTTTTGAATTAAAGCTCAGCTGAAAACTTGTGAAAAACTGGGCTGCAGTAATACCTGGGAAGCAGTAATCTGTGCCCGGTGTTGGTGGGAAGTCGCTGAAACACCACAGAGAGAGAGACGTAGTCCCAAAGCTCTTCGAACACGGTATGTACAGGTGAGAGGGGGGACGTCCCACTGTTTTGGGGGAACAGATGGGGCGTGAGTTCCCTTCCCTGACTTACACATCCTCATAGACACCGCTGCCATGTTCTGCCATTGCACAGGGGTTGGTCTTCCCAAACGTTGTGACCCACCTTAAAGACGAGGAACCTCCTCTCCCTTCCCTCGTGGCCAGCGCGGCCCAACCAAGCCCCGTTGGTTTTTTTTCCTTCCCTTCCCTTGACTCTCCTCACCCCTCACCCAGGTGGCCAGGCGGTGGGGCAAGAGGAAAAACAAGCCCAAGATGAACTACGAGAAGCTGAGCCGCGGGTTGCGCTACTACTACGACAAGAACATCATCCACAAGACGGCAGGGAAGCGCTACGTCTACCGCTTCGTCTGCGACCTGCAGAGCCTGCTGGGCTACACCCCCGAGGAGCTCCACGCCATGCTGGATGTCAAACCAGATGCCGACGAGTGAAGGTGGCCGGCCGGGGCGGAGGATCCACCCCCGTGTCATTTTGGAGAGTCAATGGGACTTTTTTTCTGTTGGTTCTTTTATATTTTTTTTTTTTTTTAATTTGGTTTTGCTGTTATTTTCGTTGGGTTTTTTTGGTTTTTTGTTTTTTTTTTTAAAGAGCAACTCAGATTTGATGCTTTGAGGATGTTGGGAGAGAGGGTGGCGGAAGAGGCAAACTTTTGGCCGAAACCTAAAAAGTTTGGTTCGGAGAAGGATGGGCTTTTTTTCTTTTTTTTTTCCTGAAAGCTCCAAGACAGGCTATTTTGGGGTGAAATTCTGAGTTTTAAGGAAGCCAGAAAAATGTAGCTCACTTAAAAAAACAAACCCCCTCCCCATCCCTTGCTGTTTAGAAAAAATATTATCAAATGGATCCCTTCGGTTTTTCTCTTGCTCACTCACAAACTGACAAAATGACAATATTCCTGAGGATCTGAGGATTTTAAACTTTTTTAGGG